TACCAAGGATTGGTTTTGCAACAGTACAATTCTCCATTGGTTTTTAGAAAAAGTTTCATTTACTCTCTTTCTTTGTTCTTTTGATTTTCTCTTATATATGAAAGAAAACTTACAATCATTCTTGAAGCATTTCAGATATTATCTAATAAGTGTATTCAAATGGCGTATAATATTTATTGATTTGAAGTGTTTTTATTACTTATTTCATGTTATGTCATAGTGAGTCATTTAATTCTATAGCTAGATTAGTAGAAGAAAATATAAGGAAAAAGAATCACTGAAATCGACGAATTAAAAGTTTGCAAATACAGAATTTGAATAGATGAGAAAGTGGAATGCATACAGGTAATATACCGAAGCTTGAACGATTAAATAAATCCAATAAAAAAAACTCAATGCCCGTGATACTTGTATATAGCTTTGTTTTTTATTGAATGATGCTTCTCATTTGAATTTTTTTTTTCTCATAGGAAATGCTTTCAGCTATAGTCATAACATAAGCAAATTTTTATAAAGATCAATTAGTTGTTTTTGAAAGATAAATCTTCTTAAATAAAGAAATTGACTGAGAATGATAAACAAACTACAGATGATTTGAAAGAATCTTTACTCTATCGCTTTGAAAATGCGTAAGAATTCTTTTGAAAAATTCTTCTAGATTAGGTCCCTAATGTAACTTGTAGAGGTTTCAGCTACTGTGATTATATTTCGATTGCTTTATTCACGTTCTAAATTCTTATTATAATATGATCGTGGTCATAAACAAATTTTAATTCATAACCAAAGTATAGTATTAATTTAAGTCCAAATACTCCAGCATTACTTGAAATTGAAGATTCGAAATATACATAAAATTTGAAAAGCGGCTTGTTAGAGAAATACAAGCAAAATTTCTGAGTTGCACTTTGAATTTATTTGTATTCTACACTCTCTAAATCAACAATTGTTTATCAGTCAATTGAAATGATTAAAATTTATTTCAATATTAATTTTATTGAAAATATGAATTTATATTAAAACGTGTAATTTAGTTCATATGATATTTGATCATTGTTTTAACAGAATATAAGAGTTCATATTCCAAGACTGAATTTTTTATTCTGATAATAATACTAAAAAAACATACAAAAAAATTCACTTTAGATTAGATAAGAATATTAATCATATATAATGCTGCATGTTATGTCAACATAGCAAGTGGTGTAAAATATGTCATCAGAGTACAGAAGTCTCTATTTCAGTTTTGATATTAAATTTTTCTCCATACCTATAAAAACTCTTATAATATTAACTATTTCAATTTTTCATTTTATTATTATTCATAATAATAAGTCTAATATAGAAGAAATTTAGTACGAGAATAAGATTTCATACGAATAATCTAATCGTATTAGTTATACAAAAAACTTAAGTCAAGGTCTCATTACTTGTATTGTTAATTCTCTGAAAATATCGATCTTATTAAAATAAAAGTTTGTTTCTAAAAAGAACGAGAATAATCACAACCGTAATAATAATCGTAAGTATACATTCATCCTTATAAACATTCATTAGGACATCTATAGAAATCTTTCCTTCTTTTTTTTTTTTGTTATTCGGATTGGTTATCCTTTATAGCGAATATTATATTGATAAATGGTTTATATCATATAATGAAGATTATTAATTGAGTGATCCACATATTTGTTTAATTCTATCAAATAGGTATATGGCAGCCGCAATCGATGCAGGTGTTGGTAAAGTTCGTCGACCTGAACTTTCAAATAAAATAGATGTTGAAGTTAGTATTAATGATGCTATATTACTCACTACTGATGATGGTGTACTAACAGCTCTCGATGATAGGTAGAGATATCATAATCGTATTTGATTAGTTTTTTTTTCTTTGTATAGAACGTTACGTATTTGGTTACGACGACAAACAGGAAAATATTGGCCATCTGTTTGTTATACATTAGATAGTAACTTAATGAAAAAATTTATTTGAATATTCATATATATAAATTTATTGATATTTAAGGTGCACCAACTGCACTTAGTTATCATGAAACATCACATCGTCTTTTTTGTGGTTGTGATTCAGGCCTTATTCATGTAAAGAAAAAAATAATAAAATCTTTCTATTTTTTTTTTGTTTTTGTTTTTATTCTTATTCGATAATTTTATTTTATAGGAATTTCTTGTTGCTGATGATTTTAATAAAATAACATTACAATGTACTTATTTAGGTCATCAAAGTCGTATACATGCATTATATTTTGCATCTCGTAGTGAATTATTATTAAGTGTATGTCGTGAAAAAAAATTTAATTGGTTTTCGACAAATCCAGCCGATGAAAAACATCAATATATACAAGGAAGTTATACATTAACATCATGGGGTATGTCAATAACAATGGATGAAACATCTCGACAATGTTTTATTGGTGATTCAAATGGTATTATACATTTTCTTAAAATAGATACTGATAATAAATGTCAATTAAATACAACATTAAATGGTCATACAGGTAAATGAAAATTAATTAAAAAAAAATTAATAATATTTTTTTTGTTCTTTTTTGTAAAGGAAGTGTTCAAAATCTTTTATGGGATGCTGATTCTGAATGGTTATTTTCGGGTAGTTTTGATACATCAGTTGTTGTTTGGGATGTTGGAACACATCAAGGTCTTGCTGTTGAATTAAATGGTCATTTAGATCGTTTAGTTGGAATATCTTATGATAATTTACGTAAACTTTTAATAACATGTTCAGCTGATGGTCATATTGGTGTATGGCCAATGAATGTTAAACGCAATGAAACACCTAAATGGCTTGAAAATGATTCTTGTCAGATATGTCAAATGCCATTTTTTTGGAATTTACGTGCAATGTGGACACAAAAACAGATTGGATTAAGACAAGTTAGAAAATAATAGTAAAAAAAAAAAGAAATTTCTGTCTTTTAATATTATAGCATCATTGTCGTAAATGTGGTCGAGCTGTATGTGATAAATGTTCTCAAACACGTAAAGCTCTTCCATTATTAGGTTATGAAACAATTCAACGTATTTGTAATGATTGTGTGCAAACATTAAAAAATGATGAGTAAGTTTTGTTTCTTTTTTTCTTTATCTTTTTTTTTTTACTGATAAGAAAATATTATTATTTAGAACGGTACCACTGGCTTCATTTTATGATATACGTCAAGGTACAATTCGAATGGATTATAATCAAGGAAAAAAAGTTATGATGACTGTTGGTACTGATCGAACAATTAAAGTAAGTTTCGATTTATGAGCAATAGTTAAAAGAAATTAAAAAAAATTGTGATATATCGAATATTAAAAAGAAATCATCCATATTAATAATTATTATGCAAATTTGAAAACAACATGATCTTTTGTTTCAATACATTGTCGTAATAGAATAAATAAGAATGATAAACTTGAAATAAATCACAAGACAAGAAAACAAAAAATATAAATCATATTATATAATAGAATAGAAAATAAAATCGATACGAGTAACGGATATACTAGAATAAATATTTCTCAATATGGTCTTGTTTTTAAAAAGATTCATGATTCTACTTTTTACAAGAATGTATTACAAATGTTACTACAAAATGTTCAGGAAAAATATTAGATAAATAATAATACGAGAACCAAGCATGTCCATTTGTTAAAAGTTATTTTTTTGCACAACAATTTAGCATTTCTTTCTAGCTTTATACAAATATAACTACATGATAGAGTAAGTTGGTGGAAGAAAGTTTAACAACAATGTATTTTTGGTTTTTTTGTCTATAATATTAAGCAATTAACTCAAATTCAGGTAATGATTTTTAATAACCAATGGAGTTTTCTATCTAATGCATTCTATACCAATGACAAGATTTCTAAAAAATCGGACACGATAGTTATCAGATCTCAGAAGACTTTGTCAGAGTTATTTTATGGAACTTACGTTTTTTTTCGACGTAAATATAGTGAGTGAAAGCTTAAATTGAGGTTTTTGAGGCTCCCTCCTAGGCTCCTCATTACAGATCTTAGCAACCAGCAAAAATTCTAGAACATTCCAGATCCTTCCTTAAAATATAAATGGCTGGAATATGTTTATCAATATTCGAAATAATGCAGTTGCTAACTTTTGTGTAGATAAACGAATATATGATAGATATCAAGGATGATGTTCTGATTTCCTACAACTGTCATATGACTGACACAAAAGCATGACCAGAATAAGTTCTAACTTTCAGGAATAATTAATTTTAGTCTTACGAAGTCCATCAAGATACGTATCAGATTGTTAAGATCTGCTCTAGATATAATAAATGTGTACAACAGACTTATGTATCCATCAAATTAATGGTTAGACTAATAATAATAAATTATGCGAATTTAATTTAAAAAAAAAGAACACGAAATTTCTGTTCGAAACGTAGAAATAAAAAAAAGTCAGCGTTTGCTGACAATCAATTATTGTTGGAAAAGAAGTATTATATTTTATCCATTGTGTATTTTGTCTTAGCATAATGAAACTAAATAAGACATGTGAGTTCGACATTTCAGCCCCAATGAAGCTGCGCTAACAAGTTCTTTTTAACAATACTATTTTAAAGAGTACAAAATTCTGAACAAAATGAGGGGTAGCTACATTTTCTATGATCTTTCCTTCAAAAGTAAAAAGTATAAAAAAGAAACAGAAAAAAGGCGGTTTTCTTACAATTTTTATGACACTTTCAACTTTTTAAGGAAAGACCAGAGATAATGCAGTAACCCTACATTTTGTTCAGAATTTCGTACTGTTTAAAATGGCATTGTAAAAAAATAGTTCCGACAAAGTCTTCTTGGACCTGAAAACTACTGTATCCAATTTTTTAAAAACCTTCTCATTGGTATAGAATGCATTACATAGAAAACTCCATTGACTACCAGAGATCACTATCTGAATTTGAGCTAGGCGCTTAACATGATCAAAAAACATCAAAAATAGGTTATTGTTAATTTTTTTCTACCACTTTGCTCTATCGTGTTGTTATATTGGCGCAAAGCTAGAAAAAAATACTGAATTGTTCTGAAAAATAAACTTTTAAAAAATGAATATGCTCGAGTCTCGCAGTATTATTTATCGAATATTTCTGCTTGACATTTTGTAGCAAAACTTGAAAATATAGTCTCGTGAAAAATTAAATCACAAGTCTTTTTATAAAAAAGATGAAGGCATAGTGGTATTGAGAAAATACTTAGAGAGATATTTATTTTGACGTACTCATTATTATAAATAGTCTTGTTTTGGAACATTAAAATGATTGAAATTTATCTTTCGATTTCTTATCGAACTTGTCTAATACGTCATATCAATCAAAACAAGATAAAATATTCACTGTCTAGATCTGAGAAAAAGAAATAATTAATGTCCTACGTCATTATTCTCATCACGAACTGTACCGATTAAGCTTTTTTTTTTTTACATAAAATGAATGATTAATTGAAACATCTTGTTCTAGAGTATGATTTATTCTATAAAATATTTCATATATAATTGTTTTCATTTGTATTTTTAGATTTGGGATATGTCATCAGTTGTGTGAAAATCAAAAGATATTTACTTTATGTTTTTATTTCCATGGTCAAACATTATAGTAGATTCAACATTGTTAGTTTTTTTTACTTCTAATATATTTATTTTTGTCACTATCTTCTTTGATTGATTTATTTGTTGTCTTGACTTTTTTGTTTTTATTTCTTCAAAACTGTTGTGTAGTAATCATAATTAATTAAATCTTTATGATCAATGTACATGTATTTAATAACAAGTAATTGATAAAATTGTCTTTTATTTTATAGATGAATTTTAAAACGAGAAGATATTGAATTTTTTTAGTAAAGATAATGTTCAATTGTGTGATTGGCTTTATTGTATATTATCATCATCAAATCAAAATATAATTATAATGATACATGGTTTTTCAGCGTTAAAAGAAATGAGCCTTGATGAATATGCACGAACATTGTGTTCTAATAGAAAAATTTTATATTCTTGTTTATGAACATCGAACGTTTGGTTCAAGTGATGGAGAACCTCGACAAGATATTATCCATATGATCAAGTAGATGGTTATTTGTTATGCCATAAATTATCTTGAAAATCGATTAAATAATAATCAATTATCAATTGACCTTTGGGATTCATCATGTATTTGTTGTTGATAAATATGAAAAAACAAAGAATTAAATATATTGTATCACAAGTATCAATAATAAGTGGAAACAAGAATTTTCACACGACGTTCTCATTGGTGAAAAATTCTTTTAGAAGCTAAAAAATGTTTATATAAAAAAAAATAAAGAATATATTGCAATTGTAAATCAAACAAATGATAATAATAACAATAATAATAGTAATGATTTATCAGATAGTTTTTATAATTTTGTTTTTTCTTTTTCGAAAAATATAAATCTATTGAATGGATTAATCAAATGACACGTCGTTCAATACATTTCTATGAATCATGAAAATGTCTAAAAGATCTATTTCCTATTCCATTATTAATGATTATTGCTAAAAATGATACAGTTACATCGACTAAAGATCAGATCTATGCATACGAAAATCTAGTATCAGACCCTCAATATTTTGAGGTGGACCTTTTTCTGTTTTATCGTGGTGAAAATGAATCTTTTCAAATAGCAATGAACACAAAGCGCATCATTAATTTATAAAATATTTCAAAAAATTTTCTTTTCTCTTTTCTTTCAGATAAATATTAATCAATGGAACAACAAAATACTAGTGGAAAGATCTTAGTTAATGCCTTATATGCTTTTAAAGCACAAAATACTGATGAAGTAAACCATTGTTTCTTTTTTTTATGCTCAAACAAAAAAATTTCTGATTAATGTCTCTGTTCTATTAATAAATCTTGACCTTTATTCACTAAATATAGAAAAATAAACCTTGGATGAATATTTTCTTTACGTCATGCCGAATAAAAGAACTAGTAGAAACATTCTTTCTGATAGATTGATTCCATTCTTGTACTTGATTGATATAAAAAAAAAAAGTGAAGGAAAGTTGTCTTATCATGTTCTTTTTTTTTTATAGTTATCATTTGCTAAAAATGATGTTATTATAATAACACAAGCACCAACTGATGGTGGTTGGTGGGAAGGTACATTAGATGGAAAAACTGGATGGTTTCCATCAAATTATGTTGAACAAATTGTACAAAAAACAGGTATTTTATTGTAAATTAATTGACATTTATATAAACGCGTATAGAAAATTTTTTTTAATCCTACTAACATATCAATCGACATTGTCACCATGATTACTATAACAAATAAATACTACTAATATTGTTGATGTCTGTCATCAGACAACCAAAAGGAGGATATATGGTAAATGAGAAGAAAATAAGAAGGACAACTTTGTTTCCTTTACTCGTTCTGTGATATATTCGACAGAACTTTTTTCTCATCATCTTCTTTTTTTTTTCTCTTCGTATGTTCGTAGTAAAAGTAACGGTGCTTAACATTTAGTTATTATATTATTATTATTAATAGTCGGTCGTTCTATTTCGATGCGATCGACTACTTGTGCATCATGTAGAATATTTGGTTGTAAAACACGTATGTAAAAAATTATTCATCTAGAAAATTCAATTATTGACCTTTGCTTTTCATCAAAACAATCATTCTTATCATTAATGGAAAATTTAGTTTATATAAACGAAAAGTAATCGATACACCCAGACAGACAAAAGATATAATCAGTGACGAGTACTTGAAAATAATGATATAAATATATCTAATAATAATAATGAAAAAAAAAAACAATATATCTCCGGAGAATCTTATTAAAAATCGTTTTTTTTTTATATTTAGATTCAACACCATCAACACAAAGCTCATCTTCACAACAATGTGCCGAAATGCGTGCTCATCGAGAAACCGTTAGTTAAATAAAATAGAATATGAAATATAATTTTAACGAAATAAAATTTCTTTAAAGGAATGATAGTATTAAATATTTAGATATTGAGTATTCTGTGATCTATTAATGAATTATATAATACTAAAGAAAAAGTTTATCTAATGAAGGATAATCTAAACATCAAAGCAATTATCATAGCAGGCATAGATCAACATAGACTATGATCTTAATCATAACAACTAAACAAAATCTTTCATTCATTATCATTTCGTTTCGAAAAGTATTTAATACAAATTATATAGATAGCAAAACAAAAAAGAAAATTATAACATTAATATTAATTCTTATCATAATCAGATAATAGCATAACTCTATATATTTCATGCAATTTTCTATTGACATTTCAAGTTTCAATCAAAATTGAAATATTATATGATTAATTTTACTTTGGTTTTTTTTTAAATGTATATATTACTAGATTCTCGAATCATTAGTCGAAAGTGAACAACGTTACATAACAGAATTAGAAGATTTTATTGTAAAAACAATTCAACCATTGACTCATACTCTTTCAACGTAAATAATTAATCGTATATATATATATATACGTATATCTATCGAAATTTATTTTATTATTAATATTTATAGATCTGGTCAACCATATCTTTATTTGGATGTTCATTATATTGATGAATTAGTTAAATTTCATCGTCATTTAGCTCATGTTTTACGTGATACAATAAAGTAGAAAAGAAAAATTCTGATTTCTTTTTTCTTTATTAAAACAAAAAATATTTTAGAACTCAACATCGTATTGGTGGAATATTTCTTCAATTAGCTCCAAGTTTAAAACCAATATTAGAAGCATATTGTTATCAACATGCTAAAGCACTTTTTTTACTTAGTCATAATAAGTAAACATTTGATTTCTTCTCTTCTACTTTTTTTTATTTCTGTTTACATTTTAAATATAAAAATAGAGATCGAATATTAACAGCTTTATCAAAAATTGATACATCAAACGATGCTAATCATGCATATATACAATTAATTAAAAATTTATCATTACCATTAAATCGTTTAGAAAAATATGCTAATCTACTCAAAGAATATTTACATAATCTTGAAGTATATCTTATTAATTCAATTGAATAGAATTTATTTAATTCTTGTTTTTTTTTTTTTATAAAAGGAATTTCATATTGATCGTGGTGATGCACAACGAGCAGCAGAATATTATGCAGAATTAGCTGTAAGTAAAGAGATTATTTCTTTTTTTTTAAACTTCTTTTTGTTTTGATGTTTAGTGTTCTGGTGCTGAATGGCGTAAACGTAAAGAATGGGAACTTGATATAATTCATAGTACTATACATGGACTTGGTACTGAAGTAAGATTAATTTTATTTGAAAAGAAAACAATCTTTGTTTTTTGTTGTATTTTATTTAAGTCATTGATATCATTTGGTGATGCAATTTGTCTTAGTCCTGTTAATATACTTTCAGAAAATCTTGGACAAATAGCACTTGAACGTATTGTTATTCTGTATCCATCAACACTTTTTCTTCTTTCGACAATAAAATCTTCAACCGCTCAACAAGAATATCAAATAGAGGTTTAATTAAATAGAAAACTTTCTTCTAATTTATTTAGTTTTTTTTTATTAGAATCGTTTTCCCCTAAATCAAATAACTGTTAGTAAAATTCTTGATGATAATATTTTAGGCAAACGTGCTTTAAAAATTAATGGTATGAATATTAAAAACATTTCTAATAATACTAATCATTAAATAATATAAATCTTTATAGCTCCATCAAATCAATCAATGATTATATCATTTCCAAGTCCAGTTGAATATCATGAATGGTGTGAAAAATTTTGTTCATTATTATCTTCAAAATCACCTCAATCTTATCATCATCATCATAATCTGAATGCACCTTATACACCACAACAAGTTTCAAAAGTATTTCAGAAAAAAAACAAAAAAGCTTTTAGCGCAATCGCTACGAGATTAGAATGTGAAACACGATATAGCAACTCTTACAGAGAGATTGTTTTATCCTATCTATTTTAGGATATATTTCTTCATCAACCTTTTACTTAATCCTTCGGAAATGTAATAGGGAAGCTCATCATAAATTATAATGAAAGGTTATCGACATGGGTCATTTCAAGCAAAACAGGAAATACCCAACTTTCATTTGATTTTTATTTTTATTATAAGACTTAGTTTTCTGAATAAGTTCTTTTAGCATCGACATGTAAAAATGTTGGCTCTTTCAGCTGACTATTCACCCTTTGGTTATCGACAAAAGATAAACATACATAAATTAGAGTGGATGTATATCACGCACATTTGTGTTTCTTCTCGTATGAGTTTAGTATTGATTGTAACAAACTGATGATATAGAAAACTTCTGTTGCTTGACCTTAAAGTAGTTAGCGAATATCTCTGTAATCATACGAGAAACAAAAATTGAAAACTTCAGGATAGACTCTACGACATGAATCGTATCTATGATGAAATTTTCAGCAAGCTCGAACTCTAGGAAAAATTTCTTCTTAAAAAGATCTAGTTTTCTAGATATTCTGAAAAAGGATTTGCATCGTTTTGGATTGATCTTAGACTTCTCATTCGATTATAAGAACCTTTTTTTGTTTTCTTTGTATTGTTCGTACGCCGTCACGTCAATAACGAAAAGTAAATTTCTAGCACTGATTTTTTGAGAATAACTTAACATACATGTAACATATAAAAATTAATTCTAAGAAAGTTCATTATTCCGAGATACACATGTTTTAATTTTGCAAAGTCACATCGCGCTAACAAATGATTTTGTCCATATACGGTCTGTGAAGGAAGAGGAGGGAGCTCGAAAATTTTTCATTCAATCGTGTTCCACAAAACAACAATTTTCTTTTAATGATTTTCAAATAAATATTTTATTTAGTCGGCATCATCATTAACTGGTACAATAACAAAAACACCTCCACAAAGTACTGGTAATACTTCATTGAAGAATCCATTTCGTTCACCAACACCAAAAACTAACTTGCAACCTGCAGCGTGGTCTAAAGGTTGTCTTCGACCACATTCACCATTACGACCTCGTCAGCAAGGTCCGATTACTAGTTATTCATCAACTACAACAACTAGTGTGAATTTAATGGGTTCACCAATGCCATCACCAGGCTCTGGTATTAATATTAATGATTCATCGAATATTCAAAATGAGAGTGGATCTAATCGAACCCTTAAACGTTTTATGACAATGAAAAAATCGAAAGCAAATGAATTTCTTAAACGAGGTAGAGAAGATTTTAAAAAATAAACCAGTTTTCTTTTTTTATTTTGTTTTGTTTATTAGTTGAAACAAGTGAAGGTGATTCACTTTTACTGTCCGTTATTGAAGCATACTGTATAACAAATATGAATAGTGGTACTGCTATTACTGGTTTAAATTCTCTTTTATCTAAAACACGACATTCAATACCAGCAACTGGTATTATTTATATAAATTATTCATTTTAAAAAAAAATCTTTTCTTTCGATGTTTTTTGTTTTCAAATAGGAACTACTGGTAGTGGTCATCTTGAACATCCATTATCATCAGTTAGTGGACAACAAAATATCTCATCTGATCATTCAAACATTCCATTATCATCTGTTCAATTAATGAATACAACAAATATTGATATGTAATTTTTAATTTCTTTTTTTTTTGTGTTTTATAAATAATTTAAAAAAATATTACTTAATTTAGTGAACGTCGTGCAATGGTAGATATGATGAATGAACTTCGTTTAGGATTTCGAACACTTCAACAAGAACTTGAAGAAGAAAAACGAGCACGTCGACAGTTAGAAAGTCAGATACAACGATTACTTATTGTTACAAGTGGAAAATAAATAAAATCTCATTAGAACATTTTTTACTTATTCACTCTCTCTTTTTTTTATCTCAGGTTTTGCCACATATATGCTTTTGTATAATTCACTCATTTCTTTTTTGTGTTCTTCCATTTCTATTTACAATAATAAAAAAAAAATTAAAATCTTTAGCGCTAATTTATCTTTTGGCTTTATTTTCTTATTAATTCTTAATTAAGATTCTGATTTATATATAAATCAGATGTTTTTTTCTTTTGAGTTTGAATTTCAAAAAATATTTTAAATATGCTTTCACATAAATCAGAAAGTGTTAAAGTATTAATACGTTGTCGTCCATTTAATCAAAAAGAAATAATAAATCATTCAATAAAATGTATTGATATACAACAATTAGATAATAAAAATCATCAATGTATTATTAAATTAATTAGTCCAAAAAGATATCGTAGAAGAATATCTCGTTTATTTCGTTTTGATTCATTTTATGATGAAAATCATCGAACAGAACATATTTTTCAAGATTTTGTTCAATCATTAGTATGTGATGTTACATTAAATGGTTATTCGGGTACGGTTTTTGCTTATGGACAAACTGGATCTGGTAGTAAATTATGATTTTATTAGAAAAAATATATTTTTAATTTTTCTATTCAATAGGTAAATCATGGACAATGACTGGTTGTCTATGTCATTCAGAAAATGGTTTAATTTCAAATGCTATTGAACATGTATTTCATCTTATTCATCATCATCAATCAAATAATGAACAAGAAAAAGAATTTACAATTAAATGTGCTTATCTTGAAAGTAAAATTTAGTTTATATAAATATTCATTTCTAACAGTATCTTCCATTTGCGGAGTTTCTGATAGATTGGTTGAAAAATATTTTATAGATATATCATTTGTTTCTCATAGAAATTGTTAAAAGCAAGTTTGCTTGCTTTTATCATAATAATCAAGCTGTGTTGTTTCAAAAACTATCAGTTTTATTTTTTTTCCGTTCATCCATAATGTTTCATTTTTTTAATCGGAGTACACTTTATTTTTTAAAACGCAACAATCAAAACTGTATTAGTTGAGCTAAATTTATCTCATATATATTTTGTTAAAGATCAAATTAAGGGCCATTTGAAGAGAAACGTTAGGTTTACCTGTAAAGATTGAATGAGAAAATTCAAGATTTGAAGTCTGGCAATCAGTTGATGTATAAATGACTCTTTGTTTTTCGTATTATATATCGATATATCACATATTTATCTTTGAGAAACCATATATAAATGACTATAATATGATATTTCATCCTGTAGATTTGTAAAAATCTGAGTAGATAAGTAGAAAATGAATGTTTTTTGAAGACATTTCCATTAATCAATTAATAATGATCCAACAAACCAGCTGGATTGTACCAGTTCAAAAATTCTCGATCAGTTACAATTCTAGTTTCTGGAGAACGGCTCATCAGAAAATTTTGAAATTTTCAGGGTAGACAGATGTTGATTAGTAGAGCATAAATTGACATAGATTCAAAATTGTCGAATGCTGTCTTCCATGAGATACTGCGATTACAAAGACACTAATTTTCGCCCCCATTTGTTCGAGATGCTATGTCCAATCAAGATGAAAATTTTTTTACAGGTACTAGGCACTGTTTTGAACAGATATCTTTTTATTTTATTTTTTTGTTCTTCGAATAATAAGCCAAAATAGCGAAGACACCCTTAAAAAGACATGTTTTTTTTTCTTCAATAGAGCTTTTTTTGTAGGAGCTACCAAAAATCAGCAGAACGATGTTTTTTAAAACAAAAAAATACTCATCTGAAACAGTGTATAGTATATGTGAAAAAAATTCCACCTCAATCAGATGTACTACGCTGGAGAAACGGAGTTGTTACTGCACTTTTTCTTTTCATGAAAAAGTCGATTCGCTATTTTCGTTACGTAAATTGGACATCGTTTCGAAATTTTGAACGTTTAAAGAATATTTTTGGAGTAATGAAAGAGGATGAATACCTCTAATTTCCAGTTTTATTATAAATATAAAATTTAATTGCAAATTATTTATAGTCTATAATGAAGAATTACATGATTTACTTTTACCTCGTACTTCATTAAAATCATCTTCACGTCTTGAATTACGTGAAAATCCGCGTTCATCAGGTGTACATATAACAAATTTAACTTGGAAAAATATTTATACAATAGAAGAATGTTTAAAATTAAAACGATTAGGTGATTTAGCACGAACAATGGGTTCAACACAAATGAATCGAGATTCATCAAGATCACATACAATGTTTTCTCTTTCAATTCAATATCAACATAATAGTCAAACAAAAATTTTTCGTCAAGGAAAATTAAATTTTGTTGATCTTGGTAATTTTTCATTGTCGGATTTTGTTTTGTATTTTTTTTTTGTCTTCTAAAACTATTCTGTAAAAACAAAAAACAAAAATTTTCTTTTCTAGCTGGTAGTGAACGTCAAATAAAAACTGGTGCCAGTGGTCAACAATTACTTGAATCAGCTAAAATTAATCTATCTTTATCAGCATTAAATAAAGTTATATCATCATTAGTACAAACAAATACAACACATATACCATATCGTGATTCAAAATTAACACGTCTTTTACAAGATAGTATTGGTGGAACTACCAAAACAATAATGATTGCATGTATATCACCTTCAGAAGATAATTATGATGAAACATTATGTACACTTCGGTAAATAAAAACAAAAAACAAATTCTTTGTAATAGTTTCAATGAAGCAATAAGTTAGAAAAATATAATTATCGGATATGAAAAAAAAACAATATCATTCAGAATTACAACATCTGTAGAAATTTTGCAATTAACCAAACGTTTTTATTGTGAAATGTCATCAAATTAGATGAATTATGATACTATAATAAATCTTTACCCTCCTATAACAATACCAGATGAATCATTGATAAAACAACCATTGGAATATAGAATATTCGTGTCTTCGATATATCGAATAAGCGCATTCTTATTTGGTCACTCTAATGACCATTTGGGAAGAGAACGACTTGACAAATATTCTGTCGAAGGCTTTTCTTTTTACTCGAGTTGTAGACGCTGAAAAACTAAAGATTAGATTTTTGTGGAAAATGCGTCATAGTCATTCTGTATTTTACTATTTCTTCTCTATCTTGTTTGTTGATAGAAAAACAAATACAACTTTTGCGTTTTTCTCAAACTTAACGATTTTCTAATATATTTTTTCCGCAGATCGAACAATACACAACAAAATATTTTCTTATCAACTGATAGTTTATGGAGTTCATTACAAGACATGTTCTCAAAGTTTTTTAATTTCATGTTTCGTTTATTTTCTGCAGTCGTTCTACAAATGATCATTCAAATGATCAATCGATTTTAGGATTCGACAGAATTCTTTAAACATCCTTATTGTAATTGAGCTTATCAAATGAATATTGATGACATCTTAGGTGAGTATACCTTATGAAAGTTTCTTCCGTTTATTTCGATTATTAATCAATAACTCGAATACTTGAAAAATTTATTATCGATACAAAAAAGATTTTATATTTAATTTTTTAGTTATGCATCTCGTACAAAAAATATTCGTAATACACCAATTATAAATGAAAATTCATCAAATATACTTCTTCAACAATATGCTGAAGAAATCGAACGATTACGAGCAATTATTAATTCTTCAAATATACATATGCATTCTTTATCACGTTCAATTCCATTAAATGAAGTTAAATTAGATGATCAACATTCAATTAAAACTATTTGTGATCATCAAATATCATCTGAAAATTCACCTATAATAAAGTAAATCATTAAACCTTCATATTTTACTATTTATTGTTTAATTAATATAGATGTCAACGTACAATAAGTTGTCAAACAATGTCAATTATGACTGATACTGTTATTTCTTCGACACAAACAATATATGATATTAAAGATCATGATTATAAACAATTAGTTATAGTTTTTGATGAAAATCAACATAGTTATCAATTTCTTGCTTGGCATAGTTGTGAAATTTCATCAGAATTTAATCGACAATTGAAAATACTTGTTAAAGAAAATAAAAATGAAAATAGTTGGTTAGGTACATTAACAACAACAATAGAAAATAAATCATTAATATGGAAAAATCATTTATATCATCGTCAACATCAATTACATTTATCTGAACACACAGATTCCATAATAACTCATTTTAAAATACAAGAAACCATTGATACAGTAGTAAGATTACATAATTGTATATGAGTTTGCGAACATGAAAAATACCATAGTCTATCAAATGTTACAGCAATATTCTCATAGTATAATAAATTCTAGTGAATTTCGCTAAGACTCTTAAGAAAACTGTTTATTTGACTGAGATACAAATTTAGAATAATCTATTGATTTTTTTTTTCTAGTCTTCATTATCAACTTTTTCATTGGTTCTTTATACTTCATCGAATTATATTATCCTTAATAATCTACTCTTATCTTCAACCGATAAAAATCAACCTATTAATAATCATTTTATAACATTAAAAGAAAGTAATGGTATTATTTATTATCTTTCAGATATGTTATATTCGTTATCAACAAATGAATTATTAGTTTTTATGCTTGATCAATATCATCATTATCATTTACATCATATTATATTAAATGAAAACTGTTTATTTGAAAATAATGAACAAATAGAAATTGAACATTGTTCTTGTTGTTTAAATAATGAAAATAAATCTATGAAAAATAAATTAATATCTTGTTCACATCATTTATCATTTATTAATATGTCATGTGAAATTGAACAAGAAAATAAAATACATAAAACAAATACGCACTTTATCAACCTTGATAATCATTCTATATATTTGGACTAACGAAAAATAAAAAATAAAAATATTCAGTTTTTAATTATCTCAAAGATTAATCTTCACACATCTGTTGTGTATTCCCATACATATAGTTTAATCAAAGATAAATAGCTGTTATTTCAACAGAAAATTATTTTTTTCGCTATATTTTTATCACCTACCAACATGAAGCTTTGTATTGTCGCCCTTGTCGTTGTTCTTTTTTCAGGTAAAATGAAATCTTCGAATTTTTTTTTCTGTTTTTTTAATAAACAAAAATTATTTTAAGTATCATCTTATGCTGCCAAACCTCTATTACTCGGTTCACTTTGTTTAAATAGAGTGAACTGTTTTGTTAACCCATGTCAAGTATGTAAAATGTTTTTATTTTTATTTTTTTTTTTTATAAAATATTTTTGTTTTCAAAAATAAAAAAATATAATAGTTCTCACGATGTGCTGCACATCCTCAAGCTTCATGTGTGTAAGTATTAAAAAACAAAAAGAAAAAAAAACCAAATAAATATTATTTTTCATTTATTAGTGCAAACTATTGTGGTGGTTGCTTTGCACACCACTATTTAGATGGCAAACGAGTTGATTGTATGAATTGATTATATATAGAGTATTTAAATTAAATTTATTCTTTTATATATATAGGCTCAGATACAGTATCTGAAGAACCAGTTGAAGCTCCAGAAAGTATGTTGAAAAATATTTTGATCTTATAAATAAAATCATTGAATTATATTTAGGCAAATGTATTACGGTGAACTGTTTTGTGGATCCATGTGGCTTTGCTAAATGTGGTAAAAATCCAAGGGCTGTGTGCCGGTATGTTAATATTAAATTCTTTATTTTTCTAAAAATATCTTATTAAATTTTTTTTCCTCAGAGCAAACTATTGTGGTGGTTGTAATGCTTGGTTTTACGAAAATAACCAACGTGTTCAATGCGACTAAAAAAAAAAGATTTTTATCGTATTTACAAAACAAACGATAATAAAACAAAAGAAAAAGAAAGATGAAAAAAGAAAAAGACATGACATAAAATAAAAATTTTCAACATAAAGTTTCATGAAAATAAGATAATGATGGTTGATAAGAATCTGATGAATTTTCTAAATTCATATAAATATGATCTGATTGAGATGTTGGATAAAAATAACTTTCAACTTCACGATCACATAATAAATCATCAAGCGAATCAAGTGTATGTTCTTGTTGAAGAAATGTTCGATGATTTAATTGTTTTTGTGAGGATATATGATTAGGAACTTGTGATATCATAAGAACAGTAGCTACGGAATGTCTTTGTTTAGCTGGCTGTTGTTGTTGTTGTTGTTTTTGTTGTTTAAGTAACGTTAAACCATAAGAATTATTTAATAAATCTTCATTTGTTTCTGTTGGATGTGAATGAAAATAATATTGTTTTGTTACAATATGTTTTGATGATGGACGACGAATTTCAACTTCATTTTTTGATGATAATGGAGAAAATCGATAGACATCTTTTGAAAATTTTTCTGAATGTTTTATTGGAAGATTTTCTTTATTTGAATGATGTTCATTGGTACTAGCAATAGTTCGTCGACGTGAATAATCAATTGAACGATGACGATGAGATTTTGATGACTGGTTATCAGATTTTTGTTGTTTTGATGATTGCGTTGGCGTTATTCTTTCTGACATTCCTTTTGTAAGAATCGATGAAGAAAATGATGAAGCAGGAGAAATTGTTCGTTGTGATTGTTGTTCAATTATTGGTCGAGTTAGTCTTGTTACTAGTGACGAACTTCGTTTAGGTGGTCTGATATTCGTTCGGGTGTTTTTCATGACGACAGTTACTGCTAAAACATACACAGATGCACCTTGAATGTGAATATTTACTTTGGAAGTGCTGCCACTACCTCCTACGTTTTACTTCGTTTTCTTTTTTGCTTTTTTTCCTCTTATACTTATAGATTATTGATGTTTGTAATATTCAAATAAACGCAAGGTGGTTGGCAAGGTAGAAAAAATAGTTTTAGGTATATAAAGAATTTTTGTATACAAATCTGTTACATACCTAATGCTCTATGATAAAATTCGAAGAAAAAAGAGTAAGAAACATTGAAGGCATTATAAGGTATTCTACTATGTCAAAGCAAACATGTTTTGTTCTGTTGCTACAACAAAATGAAGATGATGAATTAAAAGTTTAATTTTAACAAAAAGAACGCTAAAGAAATGTCATGTAAATGAATATAAGAAATTTTTTAATAAAAAAAAGAGAAAACAAAATTATCATGTTCCAAAATGAGAGAAATCATGGTTTTCTGTAAACGTGAGTATTAATAGACGAACTTCATTTGTGAAACGAAAAAAAAACCAAAGAAAATAAGGTTTTAGTTACTATTACTTACATGAATTAATTTCTTTTTGTCCTTTTTTAAACTGATGTTTTTTAATCACTACTAACACGAACTCTAACAAAAATTTTGATTTTATGTAGGTGGTGTGCTTTTCGTTTCACCTTGTTTCTTCGTCTTCGTCTTCTTCTCTTTTGCCTAGCGTTCTTTATCCATCTTCACTTTTACATAGACGTATGGTGTTTGCTTCGTGTCTCACTTTTTCTTTCTCCTAACATTCATACAGGAGTCAAGCAACAAATGTGTGCATGTCATATTGTATACCATCATCAACACTTAAAGATATGAGTCAACTTTTAAGTTGAATTTGGTCAAAGACAAAGAAAAGAAAAGAAAAAAATAGGATTGAAATCAAAAAAATGTAAGGTATTATACATATATCAATCATTGTCAAGTGTTTTCTTTCACTTAAAAAAAAACCGTTTATAAAAAGACAACATAATCGAAATGAGGTTTTTTTTTTCTGCTTACCTTGATCATCATTTTTAATAGAAGATGACGACTTTGTTTTTTGTTGATTTGGATCAATAAATAATATATCATTTTTATATTGCTCATTTTTTTCCATTTTTTCTGTATGATTAAGCCATGCAGAAATTTTGTCAAAATTACCTCTTGATTGTCTTTTAGGTGAATCATGATAATATGTAAATGGTAATGAAATAGTATTACTTGTTATTAAAGATGATGGTACTACATCATATATTGTTGTATGTTGATGATATTGGCGAAGGATATTTGTAGATGATATTTGTCTTGAAGTTGTTGATCTCATTGTTCTTAAATGTATTGATTTAGTTCTTGATGGTAGAAGAAAACTTTTAAGTTTAGTTAAAAGATGATGAAGACCTTGAAAAAATAGAATAAGAAAGAAAACATCTTTATCGTAATCCTAAGATAATAATAGTGGGAGGTATGACGGAAAAAGAAATAGCTCTGTTTACATTAAAAAAAAAACGACTGAGACAGATAGTTTCTCCCAAGGACGAACGCAGACAAATTGGTACAAACGTTATATTTTTTTTTTGTCTCGTTTCTGTTTTGTTAGAGAATAGAATAATAAATGGATACAGCATTCAGATGATAGAATAGAATAGAAATATATAGGAAAATGTCATCTTTAGAACTGCTATCGAAATAACTTGAGCATAAGATAGATTCTTTCATCATGTGCATTTTGTTCTTCATTTTTTTACCCTTTGATTTTGTCTTATGTTGTTCTTGATCAGATTGTTGCTTGTAGGCAATAGATGATGACTTTTTCAAATATGAATCTTTAGTATTTGATACAGAAGAACCACCTGTTGAATAACCGCTTGAAGTTGTTGTCGTTGTTTCGGGTGATAAAGTACCTGAAGTCGATTTTTTCAGCATATCTGTAATTTTTGGTACTTGTAATAATAATGATTGATGTTGTCGATGATGTTCGTTAGATAACATAATATGTTATTAAAAATTTGGTTATATCTATAATGAATAGTATCTTATTTAACAAGAATATGTTTGCTGTCTATGGTATTCGATATTCTTTTTTTGTTTTTTAAACTGAACTTAAATACAAAAAAGAAAAAAGACAAGTTGAATGATTAATAAGCCGTAAGAGAAAAAAAATGATGTGTAGTGTACAATGTCACATCTGAAAATCGAGAAATGACAATGATGAATTTACACAGCTTGTCTTCTTTTTTTCTCTCCTTTCTCTATCATTTGATACCACCACAATACACACATATATATATATATATATGTATATATATATATATTTATGTATATATGTGTTTATATGTGCATCATTTTTCAATTTTCCATATGTATATATAAAATGTAAATATGATTGGTAGAATTTATCTCTATAGACAAGTAAACTCTTTCAATATTTTGCGTTGTTCATTTATACTTATATTTTACGCTCATAATTGTCGTCTGGCGATTGTCAACATGTATAAACGAAAGGAACGAATATTTAAATATAAAGAACAATTTGTTTTACTCGTGTGCTCTCTACTTATGTTACTAACGGCTGGTCTCACTCATTATTCGTTGTCGCCATGTTGCCTCTCCTAATCATGCATAGTACATACATATATACATAAGTTGTAATTCAACGGAAGTAAACATATGCAATGTCGACTAGAGTTCTATGTGTAAACGTGCATATCTCGAGGTCACCAAAGACGATTCTGACATCGTCGTTTTTTCGCTCAATCAAACTCAATTTGTTGTACAGCATGCGAGTTAACGTTCGTACATAGAAGATAGTACGCCAAAGAAAAGCGATTGTTAACACAAAGTCTATTTTTCTATTAGTAACTAATAGTCACTAGAACAGAAATGGATTGAAGAAACGAGATGATTTCTAACTTGGTCTGTCTCTTTTTTTTTCTCCTTTTGTCTAGTATATAGACATGAAAAAGGAAAGTTGTCAATGACCTAAAGCCATTTGCTTGTGTCTAGTGCTTCACTAACTCTACTTTTGTTATAATTACATTTTACACACACATATATACTAAAAAAAAAAGGGAGAAAAGAAGCTGAGAAACAAAAAAGTCTACTCACAGGAAATGAGTTATGACATAAGCATAAGATTACAGCTTGTAGAAAGAAAGAGAGAAGAAAAAGGAATATAGGTTCAAATAAAAATATTTCCTTAATTATATTGGATAAATATTTTATTAGAATTTCTAACAAAATAAATGCGTTTGATGATTTTAAGGTGTACTACATCTTATAATCGCGTCTATGTATTAAGAGAAAAGCTGGTACTCTCTAGTGACACAGGACAAAAAGAAATACCAAATAATTATAGGAATAAGAGATGATAATAGATGGAAATATACAATATTCCTGATGAATAAATACGTACCATCAAAAACATATTTCTATATAAGGATTCTTTTATTCAGTAAATAATCATAAGAATATACAACTTTTTCTTTTTTATTTCCCAAGAAAAAGAAAAACAAGAATGTGAAATAATTCTAATTGATTAAAATAAAATATTTTTTATTTTTTATTCTATTTAATAATTTAACTACTTACTTGAAATACAAAAGATTATTTTATTCACGAATACTTAAATAACAATACATTTATCAGTTGACATGATAAAGCAATCAAACCAAAAAATTATGGGTTTCGAAGATTAACAAAAATAAAAATAAAAATAACAGTTCGGATTTGATAAAAAAAAAATGAAATGTGTTAGTCTTTAATACCATCTTACTTTTCGAATGCTATCTTTTCTTTTCATTAATCAGGACAAAGTGAAAAAAAGAAAAGTAAAACTCATGACTTACGATGTTGATCACACGTCTAATCTTACCTTTTTTTTCCTATCACATCAAACATGAAATTGAGTCTTTGTATAAAATCTGACTAATTATTTAAATATTTAAATTCTCGTTTTCCCAGCTTATATTACCAAAAAAAAACGTAATACGATAATCAATTCAAATTAGTGCAAAAAAATTCATAAAAATAACTATCCATTTGTCTGCTAAGTTTGGTTTTCACTTAATGATAATAAATATATGTAGGGCTATAGATTTCTTCATTTATATATTCTAAAAACACTATTGATCATAGCGCATTGAATTGGTTTTTTTGAATATATTAAGAATATCGAGTACTTTTTTTTTGCGTACCAATCAACATTGACCACAAAGGCAAAGAATAAGTATTTTAATATGCGAATCATGTCAAGTATTATGATTACTAATAATAAATATGAAGATTTGATTTAGACAAAAAAAAAATTAGGCTTTTTTTCCTCTTCATAATGTTTTTCGTCTTAAATCTCAAGAGACAAAAGCATGAGATGAGAAAAATATTTATTATAAAGAATGTTGTTGTTAACCAAGAGATTATTACATTATTTCGAAATATGTCAAGATGAAATAGAATATAAATTACAAATGACAATCCATTTACTTTTTCTTTTTCTATCTCTCTTATTAAAATAAACTATTATGTCAAATATATGTTACTAAATATAAACAAGGAAAAATTGTAAAAAAAAATTTCAATCGAATTTGGAAAAATTTCATATGCTAACATTTTAATTAAACATCCGATAGTTCTATCTAAACTATGGAAATTTATAATGATCAACCAATAGTCTTTCATTAGAATGGATATATCTTCATCGACTTTTTTCATACAATCGGGATCTAGCAAGCAATGCATCCATCTAAATAACAACTAAAAAGTTTAGCATACTTGTATGTTTTGAGATATTTTCTTAGTTGTAATAGCCAAGATGAATAAAAAAAAAAAGATTTGAGTAGGTAAAAGAACTTTCTACAAATAGAAATATTCTTTCAGCTTTGTCCTACATTTTGGAGAAAAGGTCCTCTAGAAAAGTATGATTGTCTAAGGTAGTTTTCTATATTCCATCGAAAATCTATTAAAAATAAATTAATCTGATAGATAAAATATATTTACGCAAAATGAGATGTTTCCAAGCTTTTCATGACCTTTTTTTTCATATAATTGCGCTCAATCTAAGGAGAACCCTAAAGCATAAAGCAATAAATTTTTTGAAAAAAAAACCAATAGAAAAATAGCTTTAGGGGCTTTTCATAAATTGAATGCAGTGAGATAAAGAAGAACTCGGAAATATCTCACTTACTCTCAAATATGTTTGTTTTCTCAGATGAACTTATTTTAAAAATGTTTTCGACTGTATACAGAAAACTAGTTGTAACAATCTCAATTTCCTAGACGACCTTTTCACCAAAAATTAAGGTGAAGCCAAAAGAAAAAAAAATCTTTGCTCATAGACAATTCTGTCAACTACTCAAGTCTTTTTCTTTCTAATTCATTCTAGCTATTATTCTTAAGAAAATATCTCAAAAAAACACAAGTGTACTCAACTGCTTATCTCCACTTTAAATGCAAACTGACGATAGAATCATTTCAGATGCCCTTGTCTAATCTTCATGATGTTTTGCCAACAGAAACTACATTACTATTCTAGTACAAAACTCTTCAAGGATTTGAATTCGTATTGAGATATGGGGAAGTTAACGGGTTTTTAATATTTCTATTTTCAAAAGATCTTTTCAACGCTCCAGATTTTTGGGAAATCGCTTTTTCGAATTTTATTTTGAAACTGCTATCTCAATTAAAAGATTTTACATACAGTAACTTGTACAAAGAATCTAAAAATTTTTAGATTTCATACCTTCGAGATACAAACTTTTCAAAATATCTTTGTATTGTACAATATCCACGGAAAAACATCTAGTTTTTAGAAAGTTCATAGATTGGAGATTACAAATCTAAAAATTCTGAAATTATTTATACAAGTCAATAAATGTAATCTCTTTAAATAAAGGTATGCTCAAAATAGAGGTGTTGATGACTGCTTTTTTTGACTCGATTTGTCTTACGGATTGAATGATTTTTTTTCTTCGATCCGCAGGGCAACTTTACCAGTTGAAAAGTCATTAACCAGTCACGCACTAACCCGCGGCTTAATACAAATTTTATTAGAAAAATATTGAGTTACAAATTCATTAGTTTTTTTATTGACGCATTTTTTTTTAATGATTTGTGAAACTAAAGTTTTTTATAATTAGAATATTATCTTTTACTTCTGAGCATATACATTAAACATCACAAAATTTCAACTAAAATTCAAGACAACAAATAATAAAGTAGAAGTGATAACATATGTTAATATACTGAATAAAGCAAAATGATTGCAACACTGGGATAAATTATATAATCATGATCTTTTTTTTTTTTGCAAAGATGTATTGTCAGATTCTCTACAAAAACAATAATAAGAAATTCCATTGAATTGTTATGATGATTTTAATATATAGCTAAAAGTGAAGTACTGTGTTGTGATGAAATGTTCTATTATTTTGAGAGAAACAAAAATGAAAATAACATTAAAAAAAATCTTTTCTTTTTATTTCAAACAAAATTCTTCATGATGCTATGATATATATTCCCAAAAAAATTGAAGTAAAGTTATATAAAGAAATATATATAATCATAATTGTGCTGTTCAATTGCACGAGCCCTTTGAAGAAATAAACGACCGATCATTTTGCGGATATGACTCACATTACCTATCTAAAACTTGATGACCTTCTAATTCACTGATTAGATTATTCTATTTGAGATAGTATTAATAAGAACATTAAGTATCAAAAGGTCAAAACACGAGAGATTTAAAGAAAGACATAAAAGAAGTGTGTCAAGGAATTAATGTAATTTATGTTTCCAATGTGATTGGCTCTCCTATGTCCTCGAAATTGCTAAAAAAATTGGTGATTAATTATGATATATCGAAATGATAATCGTGGCCTGAAATCCGATAAATCATCGATGTTTTTAATGATTCTAACAATTTTTATGATGATTCATAATTTTATGATCAATTATTGTCTTTCGTTATATCGATAGTAGAAGTGATTTTGTTCATGTAAACTCGATTTCTACTGTTATACTGAGAAGTTTCTCTATTTAATTTACAATGATGAATATTTTTATGCAAAAATTAACTGTTTTTCTTTATTTAATATGAATAAAAAAATGGATGTGATATGCAATTTCATATAGTTAAATGAAAGCATAATCAAAAAATAAAGAAAAAAAAACATTTTAATTAAACTTTTCTGTGAAGTCGCTCCAAGCATATCTACTTTTTATTATTAAATTAAATATTTAAATCAGTAGACAGAGTAGAAATCACAATTAAAAAGCAGAACTAAAAGGATGATGATGAATCAAAACTGAATTTAAAAATAGAAAAATTCTAATTGAAAAATTATTTGATTTGAAAACATATCTAAAATTATCTATATTATCAAACACATTCATTTGATATAAATGAATAGGAATGCGAATTGTTTCCTGAAATTGTCCTATATCATTAATATTATAGTAATAATATCCATGCTGAAACTATATTTTTCTTTTTGGTTTCAAATCCATAGGATTATATTTTTAAAAAAGTGTAGAAATTATATTTGACTCTTAAATTTACAAACCTGGAATATTTCTCTAATTAATTGACGATTTGCAATCAGTAATTGAAATTTTTTCCACTGATGTTTTTGATAGTCACCAAAATCGTCACAATTTTCACGGCATGCAATGGAACCTTTCATTATCATCCAATATTTTAATCTTAGTTGTATAATAAAATCATCATACCAATTCCATGGAATTTCTTATTACTATTTTTGTAGACAATTTGACGGGTATGGTTATGACTGAGGATTTTTGGTTCGATGCGTCGAAGAAAAAACTCACATTTACACCCTCTTGAAAATAAAATACTTAAGAATTTGATAACTTCGCCATATCTGAATAGAAGTCCAAATCTTTTCAGAATTTTTACTACAATACGATGTAGTTTATATAGACAAAACATCATTGAAATCAGAAGGGAGCATCGCGAGAGAGTCTCTCATGAGTATTCAAGAGTATATCAGAGCATCGATATTGAGTTTGAAGAAATATTGAATCAAATGCACTATTCAATGCTATAGATTATATGAGAAAGTTGTGATATATCTGTAGATTCAACTGTTCAATTTGATTTGATTGCGAACATGACTTTTCACACATTTAATTTCTATGGATTGTTTCATTTTTTTGTTTTAAATCATTATGTTGACAATCGATACAGGGTTTTTTTTTGTTCAATTTAATTAGAATGACTATCATACATCTTGCTGAAAATCAATAATCCCAAAAAAGAAATATTCTAATAATTTACAAAGGTTTAATTAAGAATATGCTGACAGAGTTAAAACGGAATTAAGATCAATGAAAACAGTTTTGTTAAGAATAATAACAATCATTGTATTTGTTTTATTTAAGAATATTTTACAGTTTGATGTCTCGAAATTTTTTAAATTAAATTTGTTTGCCTCAGTATTGAAGAAATTTCTTGTCTCAAAATCAAAAATATATATATTTTTTTGTTCTCTGAAATCTGCAACAGAACATTTAACTGTTTAAAACATTTGAACAAATTTCAACTATAATGAGTAACGCAGATCGTGTTCTTTGTTTTATTGACCTTCATCACAATGTCTATGTTAATGTTTCATCATTTCTTATGAAACAAAGAAAACTTGCATTTACTGGTAAGAACTTTAAAAAGAACAACATCTACAAGTTTGGTTTTTTTTTATGAAAAAGAAGTAGTCAACAACAATCATTGCTAGTATAGTCAATGACCAATTTAAAATAACAACAAGCAACAATTAATGTTATAACAATGAATGATGATGATGCATTAGATGTCATACTGAATCATACAGAAATATTCCATAGAAACGTATATATTTTTAAATATTACATTTTTATTTTTATGAATGTTCCGGAAGTTTAATTACACCTGTTTTTTTTTTCTTGTATTTATAATTACAGTACATATAACAAAGTTATGATTTTAATTTTTTTGATTAATGTAATCATATCACTCGATTGATTATATTCAATGACAAAAATTAATTTATGATTTATTTATAAAGAGAAAATTCTCGAAATAATTTGATTTGTTATTCTTAAAATTCTTCTATATAGAAAGTTCTTCGTTAATCAGTAAAATGATTGACATTACATTCTTCATTGAATATCATGAAAGACATTACTATCATAATCTCTTTTGGTAATATCTCTTTACAAAAAAATTTTCGTATTGTACAAAACTAAAAAAAAAAGAATTTTCAGACAATTTTATATCGGAATAATTTTTGTGATTGTTTCAGAAGCCTATCTCTAATTTGAAATAGTTCTGACAAAATTTCTGAGATCGTTTTAATAGCCCTTTCGGCACAAAAAAATATCCAGAAATCTTTTTCTACGGATTTGCTACAATATGGAATTTTTTTTAGAGTATTTTATTTCTTGAAATGTAAATTTCTATTCATTTCGTTTTTTAAATCTTGCTAACATCACATGTTCGCTTATCACAAGACTAATATCGAAACCTTGTGTTAAAAACAATGTCGCAATTAACACTTCATTGATTTTGTTTTGTTATTCTAGATTATTTTTTATTTTTTTTTTGTTAAGCATTCAGTCACGACTATCTATCGCTTTATCTATCTGTCTAGGCCAAACTCTACTTCGCAATAACATACATCACATGATGCTATGATTTTATAGGTGGGTAAGAGAAGAAAAAAAAAAAGAATAGAAGCTTCTCGAATATTCATTCTTTAGCTCTTTTTTTTCTTTTCTTTTCTTTTCTTTCTTGTTCGTAGTTAAGGGTTCTTTGTCTATGATTTATGCGTTTCTTCTTCTTCTATTTTTTTCTCTTTCGTTTGCAAATATATGCCTATCATCATCATCGAGAAAAATCCAGCATTGACGAGAGAGAGAAAAAGAGAAATCAATAGAGAGTATATATACAGGCAACCCTCCTGTATCGACTACATTCACAACATCGTTTACCATTTGGTATTAACATATCTTCTCTGTTGGTCACATTGATGATCACAACTATGCCACCATGAAGTAACGACGTTGGTTCTATACCACGTCGATGAGCAACTAAGGTAAGTAAAGTTATTTTATTTTATTCTTTACGCGCAATATATAATGTATTCCACATACATATTGTATGATGGGAGATTTCGTTCCTCTTGTTTGTTTTTTTTGTTTATCTTATTAGAATAGATATGCAAGATTGGCTTGTCCAAGGAAAAAAATATCAGGTTTTCATATTTGAGATTTTCTTTCGATCGTTTTGTTTATTACAGAAATTCTATGATTAACTAAATAAAAATCATCATACGTCATTCAATAAAAAAATCACCACCACGGACTGTTGAGTTTATTTTATTGTTTTCTTTTAATATTTTGGATAATTTCAGTGCTGATTTTTGAATCGACAATCCTGTAATCAATTGAATTTTTTTTCTAAGTGATTATAAATTCTTTGATTTCTCTTTGTTTTTTTTCCGTTTTATAGTTCGTTTAGTTTTTTTCGAGCAAGTATTATTGTCCGATTTTTATTCCTTCGATTTTCTTTTTTTTTCTTTTGTTTTTGTTTCTTTTGTCTCCATAGACGTTTACCTTTTTTAGTTTTGTCGAAATGTCGGCCATCATATGCAGACAGTATAACGAGTCTCATTGATTGAGATAGATTAAGAATCATTTTATGGGTTTATGTTATTCATTCTCTGGTAGGACATCTACTATTATATTGCCCAATGTTGTTCTACAGTAGCAGTGCTATGAAAATTATATATCTATGGTGGTAGGATATATTTGCCTATTTCCAAGATTTTTTTATCATATAGTTAAAAATGAATATTACAATTAAACTTGCGGTTTTTCTTCGACAAAATCTGGTAAAATGTTTTTAAATTTTCATCAAGATTCTGTTCTCATGTAGAACCAAAAAAAAACATACACACACAGAAACTATCGGAACAGTTATACACTCCGGCATCAATTTAAAAAATTAATTCAGAGCTGTGGTAGGAAGATTTTAATTGTACATTGTCAAACTTTTGTATCTAGTTTATACATCCATATCAAAATCAATATGTAATATATTAATCGGCATTTTTTTATGATATGTTATAGAAATGAAAGTCAATTAGAAAAGTGCAGTTTTTATATTTTTCTCTTTTTTTTTTACTTGGCATTAATTATTACACAAGGTAGAATTTTTTTGTTATACAAATCGATTTTTTTATTTCCATAGAAAGAAAAAATTAATTACAAAAGAAAACTACTATGCATGTAAACATATTTATAATATTTTGTTAAAATGTACAAATGAAGATTATGTTATGGTTTATTTCTATGAGCTTTTATTTATTTACCCTCGAGTCAATTTTGCGACTATATGTAGATTCTTCTCGAGAGAAGAAGACGAAGAAAGAAGAAATTATCGTGTTCACAAATAAAAAAAACAAATTTTGCCATTCATTCATAACAAATTACAGAGAAACAAAATATAAAAAACTTTCATAGAGAACACATTTTCGGTGAACTCGTCGTTTTCAGGGAGCATTAATGTCCGTTATATGTACAAAAGCTGGACAGCCAAGAACATAGATGAGTCGTAGTTAGACTCTCTGTGTGTAGCAATATATATATATATGTTTGTTTGTAATGTCAATTCATCTCGAGTACAAGAATTACAGATATATAAATTATTTCAACTAATATTAAATTGTAAGCCATTTATATATATTATTTTAATGCGTTGACATATTCAAGGGCAGCCAAAATAAAAAAAGAAGAATATGATGACCATGCTGATTAAAACAGATAAGAAAGAAAAATTCTTTTATTAATTATGGATAAACAAACAAATCTAAATTTCGAAGAGTGATGAGATAATAATATACATATATATGATTTATTGAATTATATTATGGCTCGAATATTAGACCAGCATTTTTCTGATTTGTTTCAAGTTATTACAGAATTAATTCTTTTTTTTTCTCAAATGTAAGTTTCCTTTTCAAATTTGCTAATTTTATCCACATTTGAAATATATCTTATTTAGTTGTTTTAATGAAGAGGCAAATAAACAGAAAAACAAGATGAGAAATATGTTCTCATTCTTTAGAGAACAGAAAAACATCCAAATGAAAAATCGTACAGTAAATAATCAATGTGTCTGCGTGAATTTCTTCTCTCTTCATTAATAAGAATAATTCAAAATTTTCGTTTTGTTTTGCTTGTATTTAATAATGATATTTAAAGACAAAAAAAAGAACAATGAATTTAATTTATCAAATTGTATCATTGTGCGATAATTAATCTTCTAAAGAAGATGAAAAAAAAAATTTCCAAGATTTTGATTTCGCAATAAATGTATTCAAACTGCCCTTTTATGTTATGCTTTAAAATATATTAATGTGTTATAATTTATTTGATTAGTGAAGATATTTTTTGTTTTTGTTGTATGTAATTATATTTAAACAAAATGGATATAAATATGAGAATTAATATTTTTATATATAAATTTAATTTTGTTACAAAAAATTATTTTACTATGATAAATATGATTTAAAATTTAAGAGAAAATTTTTTGTTTTTGTTTTTAAATCAAGATTAATATAGTTATTCGTCAAAATTAAATTAGATATATAGATATTTGATCAATAAACAAACTACTGATATGTTCATGTCTCAATTTATTTCAAAGAGAGAATAATATATTTCTGTGGTAAGAGTAAAGTTTAGAATTCTGTTTCGTTTTTAGGTTTTAGAAATTCTTCTATGAGTTTATTTCCCAACATTTATTAAGTGTATTATTTATCAAGATTGATTTGGCCTTGTATTTAATATTGTCTATGCAAATTTTCTTTATCAGTTATATAATGATTTTTTTTGCACCTCAGAGAAGAAATGATATAATCAGTTAACTGAAGTTTGTCCAGTCGTTTTGGTCCTTGAGAAAACAAAAAAAAACAATTACATAATTATTTGATTTATATGATAACAAATAGCAAGAAAAGTATGGAAAAAAAAATACCATTTCAATAAAGATGATTTTGTTCCATGAAGAATAATAGTTAGAAAAGAAAAAAAATCTACAAATATCAAAAATATCCAGTTTCTTTTTGTTTATTTTGAAGCGAAGATTATTTTAGTTCCATATGAAGCTTAATTATTAATTAAAGTTTTCTATTATAATATTAAATTCTTAATAATCAAGGAAAAAAAATTGCATAGTGTCATAGAGAAATTTTTTTCATGACATTAAATATCATCAATTGATCGATTTCAAGAAAAGAAAAAATTAGTATTTGAAAAGAATGCAATTACCTATTGCTGTTAACTTACATCCAACATTGCATGAAGATAATTAAGTTCACAATAATGATTTATATTTTAATTATAAATTAAGTTATTGAATGTACTTCTGTTCTTCTTTTTTATTGGGTATAGGGTAAGATAGAGAAAAACTTTTAGATTTTAGTTATTCAAAAATATTCTTCGTCCATTATACTTCTGATTTTTGTACATGTTATTTGAAGAAAGAATTTTTATACATTAAAGCTATTATATTCTTGGCTTTATTAGTTAATTTTTTATTTTAATTATCTATATTATTAATTTATTAAAGTTATTAGTTACCAAAAAAAAAAAATATATATATATATTACAACAGTTTAGTTTATGAATCTCAATAAGTCAGATAATTTGAAGATTTGTCAAAGAAGCTGATAAATATTTATAAAGAAAAAAATTGTTTATTATTTAATAATTCTATATACAGCTATATCTTCCAGTTTAATTATTGACCTTACAATTCATAGTATTTAGTACGCGGGCTTTTAAAATAATATGTTCTTTTTATTTTGTTTATCAACCAAGTTAAAAATATCTTTGTTTTGGCTTTATAGTTATTGGTTAATTGTTTTTATATGGTATTAGAATGAAATCATATTATTAATTAAGTTATATTCATGATTTGATAAATCTATTTCCTGATAAAAAAGATATATGAATATTATTTATTAATGTTATTTTATAAATCAAGAAAAGAAATGTTTATTCATTAAGTCTAAAGAATTTAGTCTATTCTGTTTTTTTTTTCGTAACTACAAAATATTCCCATGAAACAATATTCTCATATGTTTAAGTCAGATAAGATCAATAACATAAGTATAGATATGTAAGTTTTATAAATAAATTAATTCTATAGTTATATTTATTTCCGTTTTAGAAAATGAGAGATATCTTTACTTGATTTCTATATAGTCAAAGAAAGATCTAAACATCAATAGCAATCAAATTAATTAGTCGAACTGCACCATATATATTTTTTGTCTTATAATTATCTGTAGTGTCTCTGTTTGAAACTTAAGAGTTATATTACGCATGTTTGATGTTAAGTAACTGGTTTTACTATTTTATCTGTTTCTTCTTTATATACATATATATATATATGTTGTTAGTGTAATTATATGTGGGTTTCTCTTCGTAAATGATAACAAATGAAATTAATGAAAAATCCTTAATGTTCTTGTCCTGCTTGTTTTCTCTTTATATAATCCACAGCTTAATTTATAATGAATACAAAATATGGGTTCGTTTGTTGCTTCACAAAAGCTTTTATTTACTTCCTCTAAATCATTCTTTTGTTTTTTGTTAGAATATTTTGTGTTTTGTTCGAGATCACACAAAAAAAGCCATAATTTATTTTTTGCTTATAAATGAATGTAAACTATCTTTTATATCACCATCTGTAGTATATCCGCTGTTCGCCCTTTCTTTTTCTTTAGACTACTGTCTGACATCAGCTATGAATGCATTTGAAATTTTTTCTTTTAATCTAAACAAATAAAACATTTTCTTTCTATCAAAAACAAAATTTTCAATGCTTGATGAATGATGACGTTATTTAATACAGTAGTCATTTACACTAAACACTAGCGACAGCGTGATATGAAAAAAAAATTCTCTATTGAATGCTGTTTATTTTTTTTTTGTAATAGTTTGTTGAAAATATTTATGTTTGATTGTATGTGTATTTTTAAAAAATAAATAAATTAATACGAACTTTTAATTTTTACGGTCTAGAAGATCAATAATAAGTGATATAGAAAATATTGGAATTCTAATTTTAGGTTTAGTTTGTATTGTAAGAGTATTAGAAAATACAAGACAAATTTTGTTGTATCATGTGATGTTACCTGCATTGAAAAACATGAAACATAATCTTTGGAGAAGAAAATACGATTTATTTTTTGAATAAAATTTTATGTAAAGTGGAATAAATCATTCGTGAATGGAATAAAGATGTATATGTAACATAAATGAAAATTAGATATAAAGGTATAGAAAATAGAACAGAATATGAATTTCAGGTTGTTGAAATTCGAGATCAAATAAGATTTATTATTAGTACTGGAATTATTAAAATGTTCTTTTTTTGTTAAGATAAATGTAGAATTTTTTTAATTTAAAAGTTGTTTAGAAAATAAGAGAATTGAGTATTTTATGATTAGCAGTAAGATTTTAGAAATTGGATTTACTTCCAATATCAATTCGTCCAATCTTCAACATCAATTCATTCATCAGAAAAACGAACTGTTTCTTCGTTTTTTGTGTTGCTATTTTATTGTAATGTTTTTTTATATAAAAATAAATGTGCTCGAGAAAAATAAATCATTACAAAAATCTTATTTCCATGCATAAAAAGAAAGAATACAGATTATAAAAGGTATAATATTATTATGCATTCATTAAAATTTTTCAATCGTACGTATAAAATACAAAAGCAAAAAACATGGTAGAATGACAATTTTATCAAACATGATTCAGCAATTCTATTTGATTTGTTTTGTTTGATATCAAGGGCGAATTCTGAATGGAAGGACGTTGATGGATGGTCATACACTTAAGCATCCATGATAATCAATCAGGATCAAACAGAATCTTCTGGAGTCTATCAGAATTCATTACAACTTAGCAGAAGCTGCTTTTTTGCTCTTTTAGTAGATTTGTTTCGTAGAATTTTGTAGATCCTACAGTTCTTAGAATCTTTTTTTCTCCGCTTGTTTATAGTGCATAGAAACTTACATTATATGATGGAACTTTTTTATCAATTTTTGAAACAGCATCGCAGGTCATCGACAACATCCCCGACCAATTCTTATATGACTTTGTGGCACTAAGTATGTAGTGTGACAGCATACAATTTCGAGTTCTATAAAGTTTCTCGAAAAATCGTAACTTCAGATAAAAATACGATTTGCGTGAAAGTGTTCTGAATGATAAGATCCATCTAAAGAGTTGAATCTTTAATCAGAGTGATTATTGAATGTGATGTTTCGATAGTCAAAATGTCAGATCTTCAACATAATCGATTTATGTAACAGGTATATGTACAAAATACTGGAAAATGACAATTTTTTTTCATACACTTGGCAGTATTGGTCAACTCATTAACAGATCATTCCTTCAAGATTAGTTTTTTTTTATGAGAAACACTAAAAGATAAGATATATTCATGGTAGAAGTTTCAAGCTAAACGAATCTATCTTTGATGAGATATGCATATTACAAAAAGGACAAAAAAAATTACAAAGTATGTGCTTGCTTGATGAGTGCTCTGAGAAAAATTTCAATATCTCGAGAATAGAACAATAGTTTTTTCGAAAGTCTTTCATAGAAATTCATCAAACATATTCTCCTAAAACATACGTAACAGCTTAGATAAATCAATGATCACCGATTGAACAGTGTCTGTGACAGATAGACCATGGTTTATGCGAAATGGCTCATACAAAAAAAATCATTCATATATTTACGTTTTCTTTGTCGTTAACTTTCTTACTACATGTAGAAAGATATCTCATTGCTAGACAAAATCTGTTAATTGGATTTCAACATTCATCACATAAAGTGAGACAAGAAAAACTAAATGTATGTGCGCAATATTTTGCATATCATATTAAATTCATTGATGTAATTTATCATGATACTTATCAAATACTTCAAGAAAATTTTTATAACATTAAAGAGCCTTTTCATATTGAGTAGAAAGATTTAAAAAAATTTTTGTATCCATTACTAACACTGCAAGTACTAAATCGGATGATTGAAGATGACGATGTTTACCAAACTATTTAAGGAAAAAAATTATTCATTTTTTAAAAATACATGAATACAAGAGTTTACTTTTAATGTTTCTTTTTAAAATAAATTCAACTAAATAAATAAATAAATAAATAATTTTTTTTTTCGTTAATTTACAAATATTTCTTGTTTTATTAAACATGTTTTTTTCTGTTAAACGATTATTTTTTGAGAATGGATACGTTTGAAAATAAATTAGGTAAATATTTATCATCTAATTTAAATGAAACAAGATCCTATTATGCAACAAATTCATCCGATTAATCTTCAACTAAATAAAAAACAAACAATTATTATCAAGTTCAAATTATAGTTATATGTTCTAGAACTTTTGAGAATTATTTTTTCGCGAACAACTGCGTCTTCGAAGTTCCAATTATGTCTTGTAATGTTCATGAGTAACTTTAACAACTAAATAAAATTCCCGACACTTGATGCTAATCCAGAACTTTTCACATCTTCTTTTTGAATCATGAACAAAATTTACTAACTACGTTCTAGAGTTGTTCAAAATTTTTCGCTAACTCTACTTTTTTCAAATGTAAGATTTATTACAGATTATTGATTTTTATGAATTCGAAGAAAATGATTATTTACCGTACTATGATGTTAAAAAAAGTAAATGTTATACGAATTATAACGGTATATCATTGCAGTGGCGGATTTAGGAAGAAAACATCTGAGTCAATCGACCTCGCCCAAAACATTTGTCTCGGTTTTCCCTAGCAGAAAAGGCTTAAAAATAAGCTAATACTACCTCTAATGAGTTTCAAAACACGTTCTATGATCATGATCATCTCCAACTTTACCGAATTGTCCCTCTCCCATAAAATCCTAGATTCGCCACTATATCATTATAAGTAAAAATGCAATAGTGATCCGTTCCAATCGATTAATATGCACTCAAATTGTAAAGTTTTCGATTGATTTTTATATAAGTTTACCAGATAATATCAGTTCTGTAACATCCACCAATGAAGCTAGTGAATATATAATGAATCCCTGACGATGATCAGTTTTTAATGTAATAGGGTGTGAATAATGCTAAACATCAGTATAGACTCATTACGTGACGACTGACTTCATCGATTATCTACTGTTCTAACTATAACCAGAACACGACTAACTGGACGATAGATTACCAGTGAACTCACCATAATCCAGAATTTAAAGAGATTTAATTATTAACAAACAGAAAACTCCAGTAATAATATTAAATAAAGAAAGGGCAGTCAGTAGTCAGGTTTCGATGCACATAAGCAGAAATTTTTAATGCAAGCTTTTCAATGCATTTATTTATGAAAAACTTGACTCATAGCTTTCTTATAAAGACGATCTCAAGTTCATCAGTATTTTCGTTTTAGAGATATAAGCTTTGAAATTTCCTTTTTTTTTATTTCGAAATAATTTATAGGACCTGTAAAATATAGAACACAAGAATTTTTATGTAAATCATTATAAATTTCTATTAGAAGAGACGTCGTACACAACCTATTCTTTCATATCATGTTAAAATTAATACGAACAAAAATAAAGTATCTTCAAACAAGCAAAGGCATGCAAAACTTTCTAATCAAACCCTTAGTCATTCTTTCATCTTGCATAAGAATAATAAACATAAACTCTAATAAATTCAATAAGTGCATAATATGCTTGATTATTATGATTTTAATACGGTTAATAAAGAAGAAAAATAAGCCCAATATGAATAATTTTTATTAATAGTTGATGCAGTATAAAAAAAAAAAAATATGCAAGCAATATTTTAAGTCAATAATATCATTCAAAATATTTTTAGTATCACAAAAATTTTGATTAACACGAAATTATTAACTATGATGTAGATTTTTCTCTTTTTTTAAAATTCATATGTTAAGATTTGTCCACTAAGTGTTCATCTTTTTTCAATTTCGATTAAAACAAATCCAAATTTACTATCCTGGTTGATAATATTCATCCATGTGAGGAATCATCAATTTTGAAATAAAGCCAATCTATTACAGAAGAAGAATGTGATTTTTTTTTCTTCTGTACCATAAATTGTGAATATTTTTCTTTGAAATTGTTTTTTTCATCATATTTAAGATTT